TTATCGCTTTTGTGCTTAATCATACTTAATATTTTCGAGATCTGCTACTGCTTATGGGTGTGGTGGGGTTCCGGACCTTGCGCATGAGTAAGGATGGCTCCAGCAGACATGTATGTCAAAAGTGAGCGAGTCAAAAGTGTCTCCAAACCTACATGTCAAACGGAAATTTTCGCCCGCCGGACATCCAACAAACAGCTCTTATAACAGCAGTTGTGCGCACAGAATACCACAGATAGGTTGTAGAATCTTCCACGCTGAAATCCAACGCTGAGTGGCAGAATTTTAGAAATGGGGGCACCCGACGGGATAATTATGATCACGCAGAAAAGAGATAATTTCGCAAAAAGAACGTTCTTATTGAAGTATCCTAAGCAAGCTGTAAGCAAACGAAAACAAAATGATAACAAACATTGAATGAAAACAAAACGCAAACTGACGGGCATGTTTGAATCGATGACTATTCAAATTGCGTTTGAATAGCGATTGTTCGCGGTCATGCGCACGTTCATCTGCACGCGACCGCGCTACTACAAGCGCACTGGAGCGCGCTATTTTACGACCTGGGATCAATTTCAAGCCAAACACTCGAAAAGTACCCCTTTTTGAACACCCATAACTTCGTTGAAAGTAAAGCTCTCGGAGAGGGGAAAGTGGGAATGAGTGGAGCTAGGTTGGCTCTTGATAACTGAGTTCAAGTTAGACTAGGCTAGGAGCTAGGCCTGCTATTCGAAAAATTTTCCCGTTATGATCATATCGTGATCATTACCCCTACGGCGCCAGAAAATCTCCAGTTGGCTTTAACTTTGGTATGCTTTTAAAACGCATGTTTTCGCCAAGGATATCAGGAAATAGTTCATTGGGCGCCAATTGGCATCACCTCTGCAATGCGCCATGCATAGCGCTTTCACGCAGAGCTATTGGGAAGGTGCAACTTCTAGAAAGGGCTTCCTCCGTGCAAGTAGATGTGCTTCTGCGATAGAAAGGTCCGGAAGTGTATTTTCATCTGTTTATTAATTCATGGCGGATATTTATTGGCGCGGAGGTGGTGTAGTGACAAGTGGCGCGCTTACCACTCGCGCGATGCCGGGTTCAAATCCCGGGTCGAGGCCAACCAAGCCTTCTTTCCTCCGGGGACGGTAAGATTGGTACCAGATTCGTCTGGGAGGATAAAACACTGACTTGTACATCGGCTGGCCACCGCAAGTCATTGTATAGGCCACATCGCATTCAATAAGCCACTACGATTCTGAATGGAAGTAGAATGCGTGCCGCATCCCACAAAGGGGTTGATCAACGGCGGAGACTTTATCCTTTACCTTTTTTATTAATTCATGACGTCGTTGTGGGAGGCCATCGTATTTCCTGTCATCGCCCGTTCCCCACTTCTGCGCTGGCAGGTTGCTTCTGTCTTGTGTGGGTCTCTTCAGAGGTTCTTCACATGGATAAGTCTTTCATCATTGAAGCTGAACGACATCTGAGTATCGCTGCACCCTCACTTCAGAAAGCACCCCCTCTCCTCGAGGTCAAATACGACCTCCCTGTTGTGATTATCACAACGATGGCATGCCCTGATCGTACCGCTTGGAGTGATTTTGCTCCAAGCGGTATGATTGCAATAGGACATGACCCTCACAGGGAACAGAGTAGAAGCCGTGGATCACTTTCTCCATTGCCCTTCTGGATTTGTTGGCTATTCCGTCCGGACGTTGAGATTCCCATCTTAGTCTTACAGTTGGCGAAATCGCGGCGAGCGTTGTGGATGCTCTTCAAACGATTCTACGGTTACTCCTATCTTTTCGATGTCTTCCTTTATCGCTCCTCTGTATATTTTCACAAGCTCAGCTCATGTCAGCTGGTAGTTGCTTGCGGCTCGTGCGGTTCCACTTTAGCGAATCAGCTCAAGAACTTTCCAGATTAAACGCTTTTCGGTGAATTTTAAACTCTGTCTTTTTAGCACAGACGTGAGAGCCTTTGGTCCCAAGCCGTTGGCATTCCTCCTCGCTCTTATTCGGCCGATATCGGACCAGTAACTAGGGAATTACAAGTGGAATCAAACCTTAAATTCATGGAAGTCCCAGAAAAGTCGCAGAGAAATGGAGGATAATTAGCACCATTATTATAGTCTGTCATGAAGTGTCGCGTACGTCAAGGCTCTGCCCTATCCCCTCTTCATTTTGTGGTCGTCTTGTACGCTTCTCTTCGCAGATGATATGGTACTTGCCGGTGGAGATCAAAACCACCCCAAGCAACACGTACGAGCTCGGCCTGACAGTCTTTCAGAGTTCGACTCAGGTTGTACATCAAGAAAACCGAGCAATTGTCGGCTGATTTGAAAGAGTCGGCATCGAGCTCGTATGCCAATGAACTTTGACGTACCTTGAAACATTGTGCTTGACAGCGGCCTGACTCCATAGGTGAAGTTGCGCGTGAGTGCGGGCGAAATGACGTTCCATGACTCTAGCTTCTGTGATAAGACGATACTACAGAAGCTACTATAATGAAATATGTGTGGAGCTGTGGTCAGGCCAGTGTGCGGGGCTGATGGTGGAATGTGGCCAAAGGAGATAGAGCCCCTCCCAGCGTGACAGAAACGAGAAATCTAGGTGGATGACACTTTGACGCGTACGGGTCGCATTCGCACTGGTAACATATGGAAAAACTTCGGTGCAGCTCCCGTTGATGGTAAAATTTGAGAATCTTGTCTCTAATGGTGTGGCCACGTATAGGGCGGGCACCGTCTACAAGACTGGCCTCCAGCTCGAGGTGCTCACAACACGACCCAGAGAACACTTTAGGCAACGTTAGCTCGACACTCTGCACATGGCCTTGAAGATAATTGGTGCCCACCCTGATCAAGTATTCAATGGCGAGCAATGGCTTAGCTAAATCGGGAGAGCGGACCCAGTCACAGGGTGGAACAAAAGCTGAAGGGTAATTAGAAGAAGAACTTCGTTTCAGGCTGCTTTTGAGAAAATACAAGAGATGTTGGTTCACGTCGCTTATCCTGACTTCATCCTCGACAGCAAGAAATTGGACAAGTACTACGACAACGTAAGTGGCAGCGTTGGCACGAAAATGTCTTGAAAGCCACTTGGCTACTTATCAAAACGCTATAAAATATACGGATAAAATGAAGAGTATGTGGGATTCAATGCTGTCAAAATTTACTTTCAGTTCTCCGTCGAAAAAACGGATTCGTACAGTCAGATGGTAGAGAAGGCTGCCCGATGGAAGTCAGAATCCAGCCTGAAGCGCCTCTCCAAGCCCGTCCATCGAGCCGAGTTTTTCTCGGATCTCACCGATGTTAATGCTCAGTACAATTTCCATACCAACACTTTTGGTGTGTATTTAAAGTTGTCAATCCTCAACTCGACTGAGGATTTCTGGGAGATTCTCTCTAATGCTTCCATATTCCAGAGGTATCTGCCGCTTTTCTGCAAGCGCCATACTTCCATCAATCTTTTCCAAGGTAAACATTGACCAGACTGATCTTCTGAAAAAAGCATCACCCGAGCTTGAGATACTTGCACATGCATATCGGAGCGATATACCGGCGAGCAAAAAATTACTTGCGCCATAAATTTTTTTCCAAAACTCGAAGCTCAAAATTCAAAATCCAAAAAAACTCCTGGCTTGAAGCAGGGCGTTTTAGACTCATAAAGAGCATACTGCCATCAACTTTGATACAGGGCTCGACTCATTCCTTATGTCCGGAGGAGGTCTGCGCTTCGGAGGAGGTCCACGTCTAAATTCACCTATATTCTGAAAGCTTGTTTGTTTCACACTGCCATCAGAAAGTTACTTTCGGCCTCTCACCTGCTGCTCCATCAGGCCCTATATGTGCAAGCCTCAGGGATTCAGATCCGAATTCTTAGAAGGCTCGCAGTCGTATAAGAGCCAGTTTTTGACAAGAGGAAGTGAGTCACTACTTTGAGGTTATGGATCGCTCGACCTTGTAGAAGATAAAATTCACCTGATATTGTTCTCAAA